CACGAGTATCGGGTGACCAGCCAAGGGTGACGCGATCGGCAGCAAAATAGTTTTGATGTTTTCGCGAACCAAGTACACGCTTCCCGGTGACGGTGCTTCTTTCGGTGCGAACGACGGCGCAAATTAAACGCGCGAGATATCTCTCAAGTAAAATGTATAAATTTATATACATTTTTACATAAGCCTCGGTATGCACGACTCGCCGTCCGATCTGCTTCGTTTTCATCGAGGTGAAATCCGCACGAACGAGTATGCAAAGGTAACGTCGCGCGACAAGCGGAACGAGAAGTGTCGCGAACGTCTCGCGCGCCTCGACGAGCGTATTTCGATAAGCGAAAAGCGCGCGCGCGCGCGATCGCACCTTATAAGTGTGCGCGAAACGGTCCGGTCTCGGGGCAGCGAGCGAATTAAAAAGATCATCGGCGAGAATATATCCGCGCATTCGTATTCCATGGCGAATAATATATATTTCGATAAAATCGAGAAGATTGGCGCGAAGCCGGGGGGAGGGAATCGACGTCGTGTCCGGCAAATTAAAAGGCGCGTTCCGCGGCGGCGTGAAAAATTCAACGCCGATAAAGCGCGAGTGGAGGAACTCGCGACATTTTACGCGCGCGAGATCCGATCTGGACGCGGTCGTCGACGGTGGAAGGCCCGATGGATACCAGCATGTCTGGTAGCCCGCGCGTCTCGTTTGTTTTCAGGACGCGTGACAACGCTCGCCCGCATCTCTCCGTTTCCCTTCCGTTCACGACAGCCCACGCGATGAAGAGATTCATAAACGGGACGCGAGGCGATTCAGTGGAATTGTTTGTGTCCTGTTTCGCGGCGAAACGAGATTTTCCTCCCACGAACGGTGCGTGGGGTCAAACGCTTCGCTCGCGATTACGATAAAAAACGGTTTTCGCCGATTTTCGATATTCAGATTTAGATAGCCGATTTTTTTCCGGGTCAATCGCTCCGATTCGGCGCGTCGTTATCGACGTCAAAGAGAATCGAGATGTTGTTTTGCCGTCCGACGCGGCGCTCCGCGATGCATTAGCGGAACTTTAAGCGTTTACTGTGTCGAAACGTCGGACGCGGCTCGTCAGCGGAGACGCCGTGGAACCGACGATATCGTTTCACTGTGACGGGGCGAAACGCCGAAGGCAAAAATACACGGCGTGTCTCGCATCCTCGTAAAGAGACGAAAATATCCGTTCAAGGCGGCGCGGAGAGGGCAAAGGGGAAGGCGCCCGGCGCGTACCGCGCATTTTACACCCGCCACGTCGTTCCTCTATCCGGTCTGCGGAAGTTTTGATCGACCGTATCGCGTCGCGAACAATCCCCGCGTGCGATAAGAACGGGAGGAAATCGCGCATGAAAATTAACAGGGCACGCTTCTAACTTTTACGACTCGAGCACGAGAGAACCATTACTTATCGGGTACAATCGAATCGCGATATAAGTTTCGCACGGATTAATTCGGTCAATACAATCGCGATACGCGAGATTGCTCCAACTGATTAAAAATATAACGCGCAATTACAAGCGTAATGCGTACAGATAAATTGCGTATTCGAGACATCGCGAAATATTAATTTAGAGAGAAAACACGCCTGCCAGTTCGATGGTATTTAATGTCGCTTGTCGCGAGCTTATGTCCACTTCGAAATAAAAGGATCTCCGAACAAGACATCTCTCGTCTCGAAATCCTTAACTCGTCGCCTTAGCGCAGCCGGTTTACGCGTCGCGCAACGAGCCATGTAATGGCCGTGCAATATTTTATTGCGTCGTTCCACGATCGAGAGGTCTACGCGTACTTTCCAGCATTTGCGAAAAGCGCGGCAGAAACATGTAGCAGTTAAGTAAATTATGAGGTAGCGGCGGCGCCAATAAATCAGCTATTTTCTATTAGTCAACGACAGCGAGGTATCTTCGCGCATCCTTTACTTATTACAGACATGGAAACTGAGCGGTGCAAAAAAAAGCCTTCATCCCTCGAACGAGACGTTCGTTTTTGACTGTTTGTGTTCCGCCGCGGACGGGTCTTCGCGCCGGTGCATCGGTCACGCGTTGTCGGTTTTCGCCGCGACTCGCTGTACACGCATGCTCGCGAGCGCGTGTGCTACTTGTCTGATCTGTCACATAACTCGGGAGATGGCTTTACGACGTTTTACAGTGTCGTGTTCATTGTAAAACCGCGAAGCCTCGTAAAGACCGACACGCGTGTCTCCCTCGTCGTGAATTAGATTCGCGCGGGCCTTTCCCTTCTGTCTTTTCTTCGCTTTTTAGATTTTCACCCTCTAAGCCGCCTCCATTCACGTCGTCGTTCGTTTAGTTGCGCGCATGCAACGACCGCGACGAAGCCGACGCGTGATTCGCTCCTCGGCCTCCTACTGCGAGCGCCGAGATCGTGGCGCGAATAAAGAAAGCGGATGAACAAAGGCGAGAGGGACTCGATAATCGGTGCGCTCGCTCGCGAGAACCGCGAAATTAGTATTGTCGGATTGAGTTTCGTTTTAAAATTCCAGGTTTTTTTAAAGCGCATTTTCAATTCAAATGCACATTTAGCTCTGGTCAAATAAACGAGATTAAAATATGACGCACGGGTGCTAAAAAAAGTTTTTAAAAGGTTAGTATGTAATTTAAAATACTTTACTTTAAATTTTGCATACATATTTAGAAGCTAACTTTTATTTTCTGCATAATGCGATGGCGACGAAAGCGAGCGAGTATTATAATCTGCACTCTCGCATCCGCAAATGTCGCGGCATAAATCTGCCCGCGTATATTCAGATTCCGCATTATTATACGTGATTAAATTTAGGTAATTCTCGCGAATCAGGCGTAATTCCGCGCGAGTACAGCCGGTGTAATTATATTCGGATCGACATTCTACGCGCGATCACGCATTTTGCGTCCCCCGATAAAATTGTCGGCCGAAGATTTATAGGCCGCTCTCGAAACGCGCTCGACTTGCCCTCCCTCTCCTCTCTCTTCTTCCCCCTCACCCTCCTCCCCCCCCCCTTCTTATCGATACAATATTACGGATGATCGAGAGGGTGGCAACTGTTGCAATTAAATGCTTAATTGGACCGACATACTGGAGCTCCGGTGATTGCCGTCTCCGAACACCTGCTACGGTTGCCGGCTGATTTAATACCGTTGAAGAATCAGCGCCGAAGTTTTACAACACTTTTAATGCGACTTTTTTTCCCCTCCCCCGTTCTCCCTTCGATTAAAATATTCATGTCGCCCGAGACGACGGAGATTAAGCGACCGACTTCTTGCATAATTGTCACTTTAATTGTGCGTTATTAATTGACCACCGGCTTGGCGGTGAACGATACGGATAACGCGGTGTTTCACAACACTGTCGCGCGTTATAAACTCGTGAGAAGCGTTGTAACAAATCTGACGCGCGATCGCGTTCACTTAAAGGCCCCAATGTTCCACGCGCGTCAGTCCCTTATCGAGAGTAATAGCGCGGCCGCTATTATCCCGCCGCATGACCGCAATCGCACGGTGAAAATGAAGCGCTGAAAGGAGGGAAACCGTGGGCTTTGTTCGGGCCGCGCCGGAGCGTCTAATTATTGCGTCGCTCGCCGCGCCGTTTCCACCGTCCGAGAGCGCCCTAGGTCTCGGTGGCGAGAGCGGGACGAGTCGAGCCGGGAGGAAGGGTAATCTCGTTGCGTGCAATCGCGTGTCGTGTTCGCGGAACGTGGAAACGTGCGAGGAGGCTTTAATTAACTCGATTAAGACGTTAAGCGCTTATTCTGTCGGGTAACGCGATTCCTCGCCCGAGCAGAACTTCTTTCCGCCGCTCGATCCGACTCGGGCGTTCCAACGCTTTCCGATCGCCGCCAATTCTCCGCGTCGAAGCTTCTTGTTAACGCGCGCTTCTTGCCCCGCCGCTCTTGCAGCCGCACGAACGTATCTGCTCTCGCCGCGACGATTATCGCGAATCCGTCGTTTATGCAAATACGACTGAAATTGTTGATACCGCGGTTTTCATTAAGAATAATCATGTTACGCAAAATACAACGCGATCAATTAGCGCCACGTATACTCTCGTACGTGCAAATTATAGGTGAATGCGCATAAATTAGTGTCCCTTTCAGCGCGCGTATCCGCGATTTCATATCGAGAATGAGCTAATTATTGACGAAGTTTGATGGAAATTCCGCAGTTTCAATATTACGGCCTGCCCCGCGCGAAAGAATAATACGACAAGACGGTAATTCCTACTCTTTAATCTTAATCGATCGTCATGTGCGATCGACGACTATGCCGTAACGATCGATCTTGATTCATACTTAATCGCGACTGTGAATTTCACTTAAATATAGGTAAGGACAATTACAGTCAGGAGTGGTAAGCGCCGAGTAGCAATTACGAGCAAATCCGGCAGCTGTGTGCCCGACATACGAGCCGATTTCGTCGAAATGAATTTGTTAAAATGAAAGTTTCGCTGTGTATTACAGATTCGGCCGGAACTTTGATTGTGCGCCCGGTGTTGTTTATGTATCCGCGCGTTCTTTACATCGTAGCCTTCGAGTGAGCGAGCACGAAGCGCTCGAATGTAAATAGTTTTTGTCACCGAATGGTACTTTGCGCACAATAAAATCTATACACAAAATCATATTTTTATGTGTATATTTAGCTGGCGCGAGTTCGCGGAAGATAGATGCCTTTATTATGAAAATGCTATTCAACTGAACTTTTAAGTAATACAAGTGTACGGAATTTTTTACAACACTGAGAACACGAGTACAAAGAAAGCAAGTATGCAGAGGAGATCTGAAATGATTATGTCGAGTCACAACACCGTACGAAACGTTGCTTCACAAGATGCATATCTGGGAAGCTGAGAAGATGGAGACATTCTAGAATCTTTGCTCTGAAATTCGAAGCGCCGATAATTCGTATACGTTGACGCAGCACCGACGTTCCCTAAATTCGCTGCCGTTACTCACAGGACTACCAACATCTCAAAGTAAACAAATTTGAAGACTTACGGATGCGGTGGGGCGTGAAAAGCCGCGGCCGCGGCAGCGGCGGCTGCCGCCGCGTGATGTTCCCAAGCCGGATGCGGCGGCGGCGGCGGTCCGTGATGCGGATGAAACGGCGGCGGAGGCGCCGGATGGGGATGCGGATGGAAGGCCGCGTGGAAGGCCGAGTGCGGATGATGCGGCGGCGGCGGCGGCGGCGGCAGCAACGAGAATGCCTCCTGATAAGCGACCTCCTTCTCCGGCATCTTGCCGACGGCCGCTGTCGCCGCGGCGGCGGCGGCTGCGGCTGCTGCTGCTAAGGCCAGCTGTCGCGCCACAAAGTTACCACCCTCTTCTTCCAGGATCAAGACAAATCGGCTGTTTTGATGCCCTTATGTTTGCGGCACCGATGACAACAACGACGGGTGAACATAATCCGTTCGCTGAGAAGCCACAGCACGTGTTCTCCGAGGAAAACTCACAAATTAACGCGTTATTGTGATCGCACTTCGTCTGTCCTTCGCTGAATAAATAATCGAGATAGATCGAGGACGTCTCGCAAGATACACTCTTTCAATTCTGCAAGCTTAAAATTTTTATCCCCGGTGAAAATCGAACAGGAAATTCGAGTCGTGTTTGTCGACCAGTTCGTCGGCACCGGAAAATCCCGCTGAGTTTGTATCGGCGTGAAACAAGCACGTTTCTTAAGAACAATCGGCTCTCTGATGTCACGGTCGATTGTTGAAGTGTTCACGGTCGTCGTGCGTTTGTTCCCTCGAGATCCTGCCTGCGCTCATCCTTCGAGATGGTTGTTCGCCGACGGATCCGAATTGTCCGTACAATAGATTCCGTACGAGAGACTCCTTTCACTGGCCGTCGGCTGAATCCGGTGACTCACACTGTTCGTTAAATCCATGCGGGTCAAGCTCGATTGGTCACTAAATATCGCAGTGCGTACCGCGCGAAGTCACGACACGTATATTATCGCCGCGCGAACGAGCCCGTCGGCAACCGAGATCTAGCGGTTGCGATCGATCGCGATTAATGTGCCGCGACGCCCGCCGCTCGCGCGAATCGAGAGCACGTTCACCGTCGGCGAAGGGAGTCGGATTGTTTCCGACGTGGCGCGTCAAACGTCCCCCGCGGTTGCATTCCTCACTGCCACCCTCGACGTGCGAGCGCATTCGAGCATCGCGATCACCGCTCGCCGACCGGCAAGTAACGACGCGCGACACTTGATTCTACTCCGCGATCGTAGCACGCTGACATTAGGTATCAGCGGCCGTGTCTAGACGAACGATCCGTTCGTCCTGTGTAGAAAATCACGCGTGGTAAACTGCGGAAAGGCACAAGTCCGCGTACGTATATGCGGGCCCTGTCACGGTGCTTGTACTTTGGCGGATATGGCGGTACTGAAACTCCACCACCACCGCCATCATCACCACCACCACGTCCGCTATGGCCATAAAGAGGGAGCACGGCCGAGAAGGAGAGAGGTCGGGCGTGTGGCGATGCGGCTACGGTTGTGCGCTGTCGGGTAGGCGTGCGACAGAGAGGCGGCGAAGACGCGCGGAGGAAAATTCGACATAAGAACGAGGAAGACGAACGGACGCTTCTGGCGTCGGGCAGGAGGGAGGGAAAGGCAAGGGAGAGAAAGAGAGGAAGAAAGCTTGCGGGAAAGAGGTGAGAGATGTTGAGAGAGGACGCGGGAGAGAAAGAGAGGCGGATCAATCGGGAATGGTGGGAAGGATTGCGAGGAGAGAGGGAGCATGCGGCCGGGACGAAAGCCGAAAAGAGACGACGATGGCGGAACGAGGAGAGAGAATGCGTGTCAGCTCGACAACTCAACTAGCACCAGCCGGCCCTGACTCCCACTCCTCGGCCCTTTCCGATCTTTCGTCTCGTTCCCGCGCGACTGCGAAGGGAAGAAGCGCGTGGGTGTGTCGGAGAAAGACGGCTCTTTCTCCCTTTCTCTTTCTCTCTTTTCCACGAATAATCACCTCTAAATGCGAGTCAGTACCATTGTGTAGCTGTGATAATTAAGGGCACTGCGTGTAGCTCTAACTTGAAAGTTATTTTATAGCAGTAAGATTCTTTCAAGCCTTGCTGGAGTTTCTATTTTAAAGCACAATATTTTACCAAAAATGCCAATTTTACGCTCATGAAAAGTTTTTCAAAGCATAGTAATAGCCGTTATAAAATCGTGTTTCCGTCATAATGTCTTTCAAAGCACTCAATTTCCGGTTGTTTAACTCGAATTTTTCCGGATGTTTCGTTTTTTTCTTTAGAAAGTCTTGTTTTAGAACGATGGCTGAACGTTTTCTCGCAGGCAAACTAGTCGGAGAAAAATCTGGTCACCCGACGGCAAGGATTTCATCCGCCCACCCGTCAGCATATCGTGCCTGTCTTCGCATTTTCGTCCCTTTGGTTTCGTGTTCCCGCGCAGCACGTGTGAGACAAGCGAGGATCTTGTGGCAGGGTGCGCCTCGCATCTCATCAGCTCTTGTAACAACCTATTTTCCCCGAGATTAATGAGCGTACCATTTCGAGAAATCGTTTACGATACTAGCCGGCTTTATTACGACATGAATGTCTTTCCTTCGACAGTAGCGCGTAATGCTTCTCCTTTCTCGTACAACTCGTTTGAATTTATTGGAGCTTTTCTAATACAAAACTAGCTGCCACTCAATCATCTGATAATCAACATGGTATCGCATATTTAACATATATCTATAACTAATTTTTAATTAATTTGTTGCCCCAATAAAAAAATGCAAAATAATGCATCGCAACGGCGAATAATCATTTCCAAACCGTGAGAATGGAATTATTAAAAATAACGCGTAGCGTCCGAAACACATAGATCTCAAATGAGAGATTCCGCGACAATGAAGCGCCACGATAATCGTCGTTGGGAAAGGGCTGAAGTGCATAGAGAGCCATTAACTAGCCGTCGGCTCGTTGTGGCTGTCCTCTTCAGCCTGCTGGTCGTTTGCCTCCCTCCCTGCCCTCCCACCCTTTGACACGTCCGTGTAATTCTCCGGCCGCGAAGACCCTCCTCATCAGGCGCGAACCCGCGTTACATACATGTCCGCCGACAAACACCCGTGACTACTCATTATTTTGTTGATTTTGCTGGGGCGCCGCCGTCGCTTCCTCCGGGATTCCGTTTCGCGGGACCTAATTATCGTCAAACGATCTGCCGATCTACCGGGCTTTTAAGTATATTCGCTTGGCCTTGCTCGTTCTTGCGAACAAGCGCTAATCATTGGCTTTCCGCGATCGACACCAATGGTTTCCCTTCATAATGTTAATATGCACATAGCGTGAACTGATACTTCATCGCTCGCTCCGATATTTATCACTTTTATTTCAACATTTATTTCTCAAATGTTAAAAAAAATCTTAAAAAATTCATTCACAAAAATTCGGAATTTGTAGTCCACCCTGATTTGCATTCATTTTATTTCGCATTGATTTGTATATCTATCGTCCAAGTACAAATACAAATAGCAAGAAGTTAGGAAATGACGGTTCGCGCGATCGAGCTGCTAAGACATTAGTTCGTTCGCCGCGAAACGTGTACTTTGGGATATCGCGCGACAGGCGTGACTTCCTGTCTCCTTCCCGCCGCCGTGTCCGATCGATACGTTTTGTCGACTTTTTGAATCGTCGTGGTCGACGCCGCCGGCTATTTAGATGTGGCGAGGAGAACCGGACAAGAAATAGAATTGTCAAAGCCGAGAGCGCTTTGTACGGCCGGCCGGAGTGAATGGACCGTGCGGTCGTTAAAATCGACAGAGTGCCGATATGCGAGTGCGGCTACGTCCAATCGATCCGTCTTACAGGACTGCTCCTGAGAGAACGCGGCAAAAAGTGGTTACCTCGCTTCATGGTAGTCGTGTTATCCAGTGTAAACAAAAAGGTACGCGTGTTACATGCACTATGCGAAGTACAGCCGAGCCGGCAACAACGCCGCGCTCGTTACGATCGCGCGGCGCATAAGAGGATCTCCTTCCGTTTCTTCCCGCCTTGGATCTCCTTTTGCGCGAGAGCCTCCAATTCGCCGCTTCGGTTTTCATCTTTTTCCACGCCTTGACTATTACCCGGCAACGATAGCGTTACCGATGTTATTATTAGCCCGTATTGATGCAATATCCGCGCCGCTCAAGAAACGTTTGCAAATTTCGCCGCGAGATATTTTTCCGTCAATTCACTCTGGGATTAATCGAATAATTAGAGTGAATAGTCCCTCACCGTATTTTACAAGAGACGCAAGATACCTTAAAAATTTGCAAATTATGCGAGTGGAATTAAAGGAGTCAGTGATCGGAGCATCGAAAATTTTTGACTCGCAGTAATGCGAGCGGAGCAACAAAACAAAGCAATGATATCTCGTAGCATCTCAATCTCGTTATTCGCATCTCGATTCGTTCGGAAGGCGTCCTAGCAGTAAGATGCAGTAAGATGTTGAATGCTGACTGTAGAAAGGGAAGACTGGAACCCTTTAGCATCCGCGTAGTGGGAGAGTGGGCCGAGCCAATGATGGGACTGCTCATGGGGGACCTCATCGGGTACCTGTTGGTCAGGTGTACCCCACTCTCGCTGCATCTTTCCTCTCGTACTTTCCCACTCTCTCTTTCGTCAACGTTTCCCGATCTCCTTCCTCTCGCTCGACCTTTTGCGTCGCACTTACCCCAACTGTGAGCACCGTAGGATTTTGCAAATTATTCTCTGAAATTGCCATTGATCTTCCAGCATTCTGCTGTAAAATATTTAACTGTCAAACAAAATTATATCAATATATTCGGTTCTTCGAATAATTTTCGGAAATATTCATTGTCAGAAAATAACGACCTTGTTTTACAGACACCCGCCGCGCTTTTCTTTTTGTTTCTGATGTAATAAATTTTCGATAAAACTGCCAAGAACATGGCAGACAAAAGAAAAGTAAGTCGCAAAATTTCGCATTTTTGTAATTCCTCTCATTGTTCTCTCTGTTACGATTGGTTGATTTATTTGTTGTTCAATGAATAATTGCATCATTTTTTTACGTGTTTTAGATTTGGTTTAAAAATCATTTTTAACAATATGTTGCACATCACAGCTATTCATTTTACTAATATTTAACGATATTACAAATATAGATTTCTCGGTATTTTCTAAAAAAGGAAGAGAAATAAAAAATACATAAAAATCGGAATACATTAAGTAATTTATTATAACAATGATTCTTGATTATTATAACGAATCTGAAAGATCCTTACTCGACACTCGACAGTCGGATTATTTTACGGCTTACATTTTCTGTGAGCCATCGGTTTTACAAAGGTGAAACCATGAATAAAATTGAATAATAAGATGAATAATCACGATCGAATACAGCCATTGTCGACACACGCGTCGGGATCATTTGCAATCTCGTAGATTCGTTAGGGTCGGAAACGAGGAAAGCGGAATGCGTTTCAACGTGGACCACGCGTGCCTTCGGCCTGACTTAACGACAGAAGGCGAGGGCCGTAAAGAAGTGGCAGCTTTTACGCGGGAAACGTAACAGGAGCGGCCGAGAGGCTGTGATTCGTGACTTCCCAGAAAACCGATGAGGCCCCGTTGCCTTGCGGGGCCCGTTTTCGAGCCCCCCGTGGTTCTAGCTCATTAACCGGCACCCACCCTCCATCCCCCTACTACCTCATCATCCTCTTCTGCACGTCGTTGGCGTGACGGCCGGGCTCACGAACGTGCGTGCGTGCCTACGTGCACGCCTGTGTCTGTATATATGCGCACATCAGGTAAGAAAGAAGCCGCCTGTGCCGACACGCGGGGCGCTAGGCGTTGGGTCAGTTAGTTATCGGGGACGAGGGACGGGTACGAATAGAAAAATAAAGCTGAGATTTCGTAGCGAGATGTTGAAGATGAAGAGGGACCGCGGGTGAAGACCGATTCGTAGGAGGAAGAAACGGGGTACGCGGGCGAGCATCCTCGTTCTCTCGACGCCCCGAGCCAACGAGCGATCCTCTCGTCGCTTCAAACCGGTGTGCGTCCGTCTGACGAGATAATTTGTTCCTCGTTTCCTGGGATTTCGTGAGTCGGAGACTCTCGATACACGGAGAGAGAGGTAGGAGCGCGGCGACGGCGGCGGCACGACGCAACGCGGCGGTGGGGCTCTCGAAAAAAAAGGATCTTCACGAAACGAGCCGTCGATGTACGTTTCGCACAACGGCGGCGCCTCTTTTATTATTACAGGGCCTCGCCGACACTTGGGCGTGGGAAAACGACAGGAGCATTCTACTGCCGTTTTCGATCGCTGTCAAAGCATCGAATCGAGACAAGTCGGTTATCGAAATGACGCGCATTCGACATGACGTTCCGCGCGCGCTCCCGACAACGCACGAAGACTTTATT